TATAAGAGCAAGCATCTGACAAAATAAAACTGTGTGTATAATTCTTTGATAGTTGCAAGAGTTGGATAGTTTGACAACTATATAAAACAGTGGATACTAAGTAGAGCCAATGGCTACTTTTGAAGATTGTTCTTTTTCCCTTTGGTCTGTTATTTGCCAGTAAGTGGTTTAAAATTGGAACTGAATAATGACTGGCAGCTGCTGATGTAAGCTGAAAGCTACAAAAATATCTCAAGAAAAAAAAAATGAAATTTCTAAATGTAGCCTTAAAGATTATTATTGTGTGTGTATATATATATATATATATATATATATATATATATATATCATAGACCACAGGAAGAAATTTCCTAAACAACCCTTAATACCACTTACTCAACCCAGCTAAAAATAATATTGGTAAAATCAGCAAAAAAAATTCTTGAAAGAGCATGTAAATAAACTAAAATGCTCTAGGAATTAACCAATGGCATAAAACAGGTGAAGCCATAGAATGGTATACTAATATAAAAAGGAAGAATAAATGTATATTTATCCAATTTGAAAATCTGTGACTTTTACCCATCCATCACCGAGAATCTGCCATGGTCTGCTATAAATTTAACAAAAAAATTACTGTTCTTTTAGCGATTGTGAAATAAATATCATAAATCAGGTACAAAAACCTTTTTTTATTCCATAATGGATATCTGTGGATCAAAAGAAGTAACCAAGAATTTAATATTGCTATAGGAGCATTTGACTCAGAAGAGGCAATGTGATATTGTTGGAATCTTGTTATTGTGCTGACTAAGATTTATTTTTGACATTAAAGACACTAGACTCTATAGAATGTAATTCTTCTCCATAAAACTAGTCCAAGAAACAGACTGATTGAGAAAGGAACTGACAAAATTTTTTGAAGATCACGAGCTAATTATCACTACTACCCCCTAGACTTGAACAATGGTTATTGCAGACCATATATCCAAGATTTATATAACCATAGATACATCAGTAAGGAATCAAAACGCTCTCATAACATTCTAGATAATTTACATAAATCAGTTCACGTTAGATTATCTAATAACTCCAGCAATAAGGAAATATTTGATAATAATAATAATAGTAAAATTAAATATATAAAAGCTTTGAACTTATCAGCCATAAAGTAAATTTAGTGTATTTAGAAAAAAATAAACCAAAAAGGTAAAAATAAACAAAGATCGTAGCCGTTAAATTATATGGTTTAACTCACCTTTTAATCGTAATGTTCAAACTAATATCAGAAGAAATTTCCCTAAATTTAATTCATGAGCACTTTAATTAACAAAAATAATGTTAAGATCATCTATAGCTGTGTTAGTAACATTGATAGATCTATATCCCGACGTAACAATATTATATTAAACAGGTGCATGTCCAACGAAGACAACAAAATTAATTTAAAAAAATAGATAAATGCAACTACCGAAAAATATGATCAGTCCCTTAAATGGACAATGTATGACTGAAAATATTGCATACCATGCTAGCCTACATTCCATTAACGATGACAATTTTTATTTTGGTTCCACTGAAAAACCTTGAAAATTTCGTTCTTACCATCATCGAATGACTTTAGGCAATATAAAATATATAAACAGCACAAAACATTTCTGGCAATTAAAAAATAATACACCTATTATTTCTAAATCTTAAAATGGGAAAGGCGATAGATGTAATTTATGCCTAGTTGAAAAATTAGTTATTTAAAAACATCTAAATTAGTTCAACTCGGCTTATTAAACAAGAGAAATGAATTGATGGATAGATGCAGACATGAAAATAAATATCTGTTGAAATACATTGATCCAGATTAATTTTTAATGTAAATTATGTTTTTTTTTTAGAAGAAGAACCAGTAATCTCCTTTTATGCTTAATATAAAAAATAATATTCCCAACTCTAAAGTATATATATATATATATATATATATATATATATATATATATATATATATATCCTGTTTATTTTAGATGCCGAATATATATATTTTTTTAAAATAATAAACTGTAATTCGCGTATAATATTTGACTACGCAGCCACGGCGGCAACCAGATATTTTTATTAAAAATTTAAATTACGTAACGGTCAGTAATAGTTAGCATCTGAAGATCGCGTTGTGTGTGAAACTTAGAGTCGTACTACCGGTGAAGGATTATATATATATATATATATATATAGTCTCATGTTTTTTCTATCTATCTATCTATCTATCTATCTATCTATCTATCTATCTATCTGTTTCTGTCTTAGTCTCTGCCCCCTCTCTCTCTCTCTCTCTCTCTCTCTCTCTCTCTATATATATATATATATATATATATATATATATATATATATATATATATATATATATATATATATATGTGCACATGTATATGATATATAATATCTTCGTTGTCGGCTTTATATCTTATAAAAGAATTTACTTTCTTTGCTGATCGCTTCTTTTATGTTGATGGCGTTGATGGCCAGTCGCTGCCAACATTCAGGTTCAGGACCAGAAGCTTCCAAATTCAACAAAACCTGTTCTCTTCATCCATTCTATTTCGACGTCTAGCTTTGCAATTGTTGGTTGGAGGTGAAAGAAAATTAGAATAGAAATAAGTGCTGATGGTGTCAATTTCTTTAAGGTGGAGCTCAACTACCCAGAAGTGACCCACATACACTGCAGCATATAGGCAATGAAACATGCCGAATCCAGCTATGAAACTACTACCGATTGCCGCTGACTGTTAAAATTTCCAGTGGCGCCTTCTGTAGCATGTCTGTCATGCGTAGCCCTTTTCATCCGCTGCTTCAATATATATATATATATATATATATATTCACAACTCTAAAGTAGTTAGAATGAATATATATGATATATAGTTATGAATATATATATATATATATATATATATATATATATATATATATATATTCAGAATATATATATAATATGAATATATAGATATAAATATATGTATATTCATATATATATATATATATATATATATGTATATTATTATATATATATATATATATATATATATATATATATATATATATCATCAGAGATTATAATAAAAACATTTTGAAATCGCTACCCAAAAGCTTTCATGTTACCATCGTCTGAAGAAATACAATCATCGTATTGAAACATGAAAGCTTATGTATAGTGATTTCAAAATGTTTCTATGATAATCTCTTATAATAAAAATATAATAATAATATATTGCTCTACTTTGTATTGAGCACTTTAAAAAAAAAATAAACGCTACGAACAATGGATTTTTATTCCATCTGTTCTTTCTCTCGGTCAAATGTTAGTTCAGCCAAATGTCTCTCGGCCAAATGTCAGGTCGCTGTCATTTTCTAATTATTAATTATTTTTTTTTACATATTTTAAGAAACTACCCCCGTTCGATGCATGATCGTTTTTTTTAATGTGGGCTGTGTATATTACACAATAATATTGCACAATAATATTATTGCACAATAATGATATTGCATAATAATAATATTGCACAATGAAAATATTGTACAATAATAACTTCTAAGATTTTGAGTCTTTTCTTGCATTGGGAGTTGTGGAATATGATAAGTAATATTTTGTGACTTTTTCAAGATGACTGGCGAAAGGACCGAACGCAAAAAAAAGTAAGTCCATTCCTTAACTTAGGACATTATCACCGAACGAATACGAACCGTTAACGTTCTTATGGAGTATAGAGTTGGTGCTGTAGTGACTTTTTAAAAAATCTGTTTCACCACATGAAGGGCAATAAAGTCACTAAGACACAAAGGGTTACAGGGTGTGAAGGAATTAGAAACAAATGTTTAGAGTAACAACAATAATAATAATAAGAAGAAGAATATATATATATATATATATATATATATATATATATATATAATCGGTTTCACCCTATACTAAGCAGTCACAAGGATTACTGGATGTGGAAGAATTAGGAACAGAAACATTAATAAGGAGCCGAAAGAGGAAAGGGTAATCAGGAGGACAGTAGATAGCGAGTGACATTACATTTAATTTTTTGAAGATTAAATATTACCTGGAAAGCACGTAGGCAGAAGTGAGTTCAACAAGCAAGACGTGCGAGAAAGGAAACTCTTAGCATAGAATTTACAGGAACATCTAACCCGGCTCAACTGTAATTGATGAGATCTTGGCACCAGTCTAATACTATGCTTAAATTCAAAAAGTCTAGGTACCATGAGAAGAGCGATATTTATTTGTAATTTATTTATAAAATGCGGCACAAGGCCAAAATGGGAATTGGCGAAAAAGATGGTCTTCTTCTGTCTTAACGTTAAACTTAGCTAGCCACAAACACTGACCCAAACATACAACATTATTCATTGCACCAAAACAACGCATTCTTACTTACCTTTCTCACTACATCCGCCATAATACCACTATGTCTCTATGAAAGTCCTAACTAGTCCTCATATGTGCAGTTCATTGTCTGTTGAATAAAACAACAAGAAGATCATATCCAAACAATTACCATGAAAGTATTTATAGAAAAGACACAGAGTGGCAACCTTACGGTGGTGGGTAAATGTTTGAAACCGAGCTGTCAGATCAGGACCAATAATATTGCTGATTCTTTTTTGGATTTTATTAAGGAGTTCAAGGTAAATAGCAGGGACACCGGACTATAGTGGTCAGCAATTTTCTAAGCAAGGACGAATGGTAAGCTTATTGATATATAAGATAGATTCTGGAGAGAAAAATTGTCTTGCAGGATACAGTGAACCAACTTTCTTAGAAGCTGACCTAGCAATAGATTCAGTATAGTCTTTCCACTTCATGCCAGCTAAGAACGTTAGCCCAAGGAGGAGCAAAGAGTCGCTTTCCTGGAGGTCAGCATCAGCCGTTATGATTTCAGTGGCAAATAGATATTATAGTGAGTATTCTTCCTCCACATTAAAACCACTCGATTTATTAATTTCCCATTTTTTTT